ACGAAAGTACGCACTGGTTGATTTGTACGAAAAGAATTGGAAGACGCCATTAAAAAAGGAAAAAGGAAATTTCATTTATTCTTTTATTCTCTATTGGCATCCTTATTTTTCTTAAATAAGATAACCAGTAACTTCATTTTATTTGACTTGTGAATAAAATGAGGTTTAATTATAAATTATTATTATACGTCCTTTAAATTATTTTATCATCGACATATTACCCTGTGTTATGGTATATCTAAATATTTATCGACATGCGAGCGTATTTTCAACGCATTTATTTGTCTCTGCAGCGTGGATGATATAGTTCTCAACATCGATTTGGCGCCAACATTTTTGGACATGGGTGGAGTGGAGCCTCCAGCGCATATGGATGGAAGATCACTCCTGCCGCTCTTGCAACCGCGTCGTCGCCGCCACGCAACAGCGCACTGGCCTGATACGTTCTTAGTAGAAAGGTAATAAAATAAAAAAATATAAGCCTTTATACACCTTTAAAATTATACACCTTTAAAAGTTTTGATAAGAAAAAATATTTATAGCCACATTTTTTGTCTTCAGTTCAGGTCGACGAGATATTCCCGGTCTAGGGCACCGCTCCCGAGAGAACAAGTACAGTCGGGAGATGAATGAGAATCGAGCCACTACATCACCTCCTCAGTCCTTAGAGAGCGGAGACTTTGACGAGGACACGGATGATGACGACTTCCTGGAGCCTGATGACGACGATGATGATGTGAGGACAACTTAGATCAGGCAATCTTTTTAAAAACGATTCGTGTATTCTACTTCAAACTAACCTTATCTAATTATTTCCAGGAAAGCTCGGAAAGTGACTCGATCGATTCACTAAAGAAGTCATCGGAACCGCTGATAACAAACGAGAGTCATAACCCACTGCTAGAAGCCAGCCTTGAGAAGGTTCTCGACGCTGAAGAACAACCTAACTACCTCACACCTGGCAACAAGCTGTTCGATCGTAAGGACAAGGATATAAAGTCCTTTTTTAAGTTTTTTTCTATGCTTTCTTCTGTTGTGTCATAAGCACGACAAGGCAATCTCAAATTAGGTAATATTATTGTTAAACTCCTCCTTCAAATATCTACCAATGTTTGTCATTTTTAGAAGTAGCAGATGCTAGCGGTTTGGAAGGTAAAGCAGCTCGAATTGCTGCAGATTGTTCAAAGGCTGAGCTACGTGCTCCTTGTTCCGCAGGCAGGAAATGGAAATGTGTTCTAATAAACGGAAGATGGCGGCGACACAAATGTAGATACGAGGTACGTATAAATTGTTGCATTAAAATAACTAATTATTATTTTATTTTTATAATATAGTTTGAATTATTTTCTATTTTATTTTTTCAGAGTGAACCGAGTTTGCCGCAATCAAAGATGAGTACAAAAAAATGTGCTTGCTTCACACCCAGTGGACTTGTATATACAAGACTCGAAACTGATGGTACTATAGCACGGCGACTCGCTGAAGTCACAAAAGAGAACAGTACTCGCAGTAGAAGGTCAATAGATAATGAGGTTTATGAACCTAACACGGTTGATAGCATTCTTAAAGAAAATCCAAGTATAGGACACTTGAGTTTTAAGAATGAACCGATTGATGAACTTGAAAGTAGAAATACAAAGGACAAGATTGATAAACTTATTAAGGAAACTGAAGCTTTCCTTGAGGCTTATGAACGTACCAAAGAAAACATAGATCATAAAAGAATAAAACGTAGGGCTCAACATTGGAATCACAATAAACATAAGAAGAATGACGCGATAGTTAACAGCAATGAGTCTTCCTTAGAATGTAAGATAGAAAAAGATGGAACAGTGAATTGCTCACAAATTATTTACAACGATCTTAAAGCTTGGCATACAAATCGACTAAGCTTAGAAGATCAAATAAGACAGTTAAGGACCAAATTAGAAGATTTAAAAGAAATTAAGAGACATTTAAAAACAGCCAAACCGGCAATTGAAACACAAACTGTTCATCCCACTGTCTTTAACAATCACTTGTTCAATAAGAACTTTACTCACGAACACAATACTTCAAAAGAGCACTTCAGAAAGGGTAGACTTCACAGAGTGAAACCAAAACACAGAAATAATACTGCCCAGGAGAAAAAGTTAAGGCACTCCAATGAATACGTAGTGCCTACAATCAATGCTAAAACCAAAGATGATGTGTTTGATTATCAAGTTAAAAATGAGACAAAAACTGAAGCTCCTTTTTCAACACAAACTGTGAATGTCAGCAATGAAGTAAATATACTTGCAAATATTACTGAAGAAAAAATTGAAATACCAAAACCCCAAGTCACTACTGTAATCATAGAAGGAAACTATGAAGACAACAGTGTGGAAGACAGAAGTACTCTGCAAAGTGTCATAACTAGCACTAGCACTGATTCTATGATTACAACTGATTTTGCAATGCATTTCGATATCACCACAAAACGTACTACTACTGAAGAGAATTCTACAGAGGAAGCATATTTTTCACAGAATGTGAACCATTTCAGTGCTGCTATTGATAAAATTTTATCAACAGAGAGTTCTACACGTGGTCCTACAAGTACAACAAGTAAACCAGCAGTCAGTGAAACAACCACAACTCGGAGACCGTCTACCACGACACCGAGGCATACAACGCTTGCGCCATTAAGCCTTGGTCCGGCACGGCTGGATGCTTCTGAATACGAGCAGAGGAACCCCAATAAAGCCACGTCTAAGAATATGGGAATATTCGATAAGCCTGTCGACGTGTTTCAAAGAAGGCTCCATCCACTATTTATTGAAAATGAGGACAAACATGTGTGTTACTGTGAAGAAAATAGGTAAGTGTTGTGTGTGTTAACTTTATTTATTTTGATGATATTTTCTCAGCGTGGTTATTATTTAACTTATATTTTTTTGTTTTTCAGAAAAATGAGAGGTCCTGGTCACAGCTTCCTGGAAGCAGCACAGAAGACGAGAGAGGAACAGAGAAAGAGAAAAGCACAGCTGTTGCAAAAGAAACTTAGGAAAGCTAGAAAGAGGGTAATTTCTTTTCTCTCATGGAATGGAAGGATATGGATGCACCCTATGTAAGGCCCTAGTAGGTATTTTCTAACAAATTGTAACTTATTACTCATTTGTACCTTTCTATTTTGTAGGCAGAATTAGAGAAACTCTGCGAGTCTGAACGTATGAATTGTTACCGACATGATAACGACCACTGGCGGACGGCACCATTCTGGACAGCGGGTCCCTTCTGTTTCTGTATGAGCACCTCCAACAATACTTACAACTGCGTCAGGACAATCAACGCCACACATAACTTGCTCTACTGCGAGTTTATTACTGGTCTAGTCACCTACTACAACTTGAGAATTGGTAAGAAACCATACAATATACTTTAACGTTATATTATGTTCTTCCTAGAAAACTACTTACCTATATTGAAATAATAATGTTCTAACTTTGAATGGATATAATTTCAGATCCCTTTGAAACACAAAACCGAGTAAAATACCTGACACAAGCTGAGAAAGACTATTTCCACAACCAGTTGCAACAACTTCTGAGTTGCAGAGGCCCGTCATGTCGGCGATTCTCTCATTCAAACCCCAATGGTAAAGGCACTACATGAATTAACAACTATGCATTATAAAATCCTTTGAAATGGTGATGTTAAAGTCTAGCACTAATTTCAGGGAGCAGCGAAGAGACCGTCAACAGGAGATTTGACGACCGATTCGAAGACCACTTGTACAGAGGTGATACTGTCGGGTATAATGAAAGGTACGATACTAAGCCATAAGCTTAGTCGTTTATTTAGGTACCTCATAGCGCTTCCGCGTCGCTGTTCAAAATGTTTATAACATTAACTCTTGTTTTGCGCAGGGCTTGGCGATGGACCTACGGCCGAAGATATGCGCGAGCGAGAGAACTACACAGACGCAGGCACATGGCGCCATACTAGTCTACTACTACATATTCTTTGGAAAATATTGCAAAGAGCAGACATGAGCTGCTTTTTTCTAAAGAGAACTTTGGCAGGCAGCACGGGGCGGGAGCAATAACGATAGTTTGATATTATTTTAAGGGCGGAAACAGTACGTTGTCGATACGACTTTTCTGAGTTTTGTTCTGTGAATAAAGCTATCAATATTTTGAAAAATATCGTAATATAAGCAACATAGAAGTTATGGAGATTATTTATCTAAACACACATTCATCTCACAAAATGTAAACATTAAACAGTCTGATTTCTTTTATAGGTGACTATACATAATACATAAGTATATATTTATTCTAGGATATTCATACACATCGAAAAGCAGTAGGGCTTCCTTAAACTATGTATTCTAACTGTATTAGATATGTGGCTGTATTATGTCTCAAACATTATTGTTAAGAATATCTTTATTCGAAATTTAGTCACAATATTCTAAAAATAGTTAAAATTTCTGAAATATTTCACTGCAAACAAATGTTTTACAATAAGACCACAATAATGTATTTAAGTTGTTACAAAACTTAACGTAAATACTACGAACAAATCTAGCAATAAGAGTGACATTTTGCAAGTCATACAATAAACTTAATAGGTCTGTCTTTCTAAGAGTCTGTGTACATTTAGCTTTAAACCTATATTCAGCAATTATATATTATTATCAATGTAATATTATTGTTAAACTTAGCTTCAAGCAGTGACCATACCATGAGTATTGCATATTTGTGATGGTACTGTTTCCTTGTGAGATTAGCAAGATATTTGCTGACTTTGGGGTGATCTCGGTCTGTGGGATCTTATCATTGAAGTTTGTTGTAGATGTTACAATGTAAAAGTATGCCTGTAGTACTCGCTATTTATCTAGTAGACATTAATGAAAGTGATATTAAACTGTTGCCATTGTGATGATAATGTGTATTGGTTGTAATAATAAAATTATTGGAAAATCAATGTCCTTTATTACTAAAACCTCCATTTTAAATTATTGATAATAGTTCTTAAATGTTCAATAAGTTATCTAGGTCAGTATCATCATATAACGAGAACATAGCATTGTTTTGTGATGTACCCAAACTCTGTGAAGTATTTGTACATTCTGTGTCTGCACATTCCTCTGTTTCTTCAGTAAATTGAGCCCATTTCGAATTTTTATTAACTATAGGTGGAATAAACTTCTTCTTTGCATTAGGCTTAGTGTTACTTGTACAATCTATTTGAGATATCAAATTTTCTGAATCAGAAGTTAGTGGCAATGATTTTAATTTACTACTGGTGTTAGAGATTGGTACGATTTTGGGTGGACTTAGTTCTTTATGATTCTCATAATCTTTATGATTACTGTTATTAAATTGTCTTTTTACTGCTTTTCTTTGCTTTTTGGGGATTTCAAAAACCACCTCAGCGTCTCCTAGTTTCATATTATCATTAGCAGGTTCTTCAACAATTTCAGGTTCATCTAAAAAGTTAGACCATTTACTACTTGTTATGGGTTTGCAGCTACTTTGTGCTACAGGACTGCACATAAGATGCCCGGGCTCAGATACATCTTCATCCTCACTGTCTATATCTTCTGTGGTTTTCTTATTATCCATGTCTCCTCTCATTGTATTTAGTTTTTGAACATGTAGTCTACAGTCTTTAGCAGTTCCTATACCATAATGCCTTTTTATAGATTGTTTCTCGCCACAGAGTTTACATTCCCATTTATTCGACTTTTTGGTTTGGTGTACCTACAGTTAAATAATTATATATAAACAAAATTATGCAATCAGACTGAAACATTTTAAGGCAATAGGAGGAATGTAAACTGTATCAACTATACCTGAAAGACGAAACATTTGTAGCATCTCAAAACTTGAAATATCTGAGGCATGGTCGTCTTGACTAATACATTCACCTAAAATTTAAATTTGCAACTGTGAAATAATTGTAAATTTATTAAGACGGTTAATATTATTGATAAATAAACAAAGCACACCTTTACAAACAATGCCTTTCCGATTTTCAAAGTTGTCAGTGTCATATTTGTTATTGTTAAAAATGTCAACGTTGTCAGTTGTCAGTGTCATTATTTGCGATTATAGTGCTATACTCGGTTGCCATTCAAGAAAAAAAAACTAGTGTTGTGCTATGGGCGTCAATTTGGAGAAAATTCACACTTCACTTGCAAGTGAATTGATTAAGTAAAGTAACAACGATTGAGAGATGGAGGTAGGAGTGATTGGGCTGGAATGAGCCCATTTATAAATACTGAAACCGATATCGAACAGTCTGACTGATTGATCCGGCTCGCATCCGGCTCTGGTTCAGGCCATGGTGCGCAGCGAGGGGGACTGGGATGCCGTCTCCTTCTTCTGCGAAGCAGTCATGCTAGCCAAAGAGAAGGCGGGGCGCGTGAGAGAACCAACCTCCTTTCACCCCAGCCGTCGCGGGAGACACTCCAGGCGTCGGAGATCGCGTGACGATCTCCGGCCACCGTAAGTGCGGGTCTGCGGACGGTGAACAAAGATAGCTCGCCGCCCGACCAGAACCAGACCCGTGCGTACGGCGCATCGCGTTCCACGCGCGCCTCAAAGAGCTATCATACCACCAGAGATAGGGCCCAGTAGGGCTAATTGCCCGATACGGAGCTGTGGAAGGCCTAACGGGTTGCCGGGGCTCCGGTTCGAAGTGCAGGAGAAGGAACGGGGTTTTTTTTAGTCAGTAAGAGTCTGACACTGCCTCTCGCTTAACCCAAGGCGAGAGAAGTGATTAGACGATATATCCCCTTAAAAAAAATTAGGTAAATAACGAACTCGTTTTTATGTCACTTAAACGTATATTTCTGAGCCACATTCATCACAGTTTTTGTATATATAAGATAAAATAGTAATATTTACATGTTTGACACAATATGGAAGTAAATTTTAATACAACAATTATTTATAGATAATGGAACAAAAACATGAAGCAGGTCTTTACAAGTAAAAAGGTACACATTCCTAAAATAATATTAGATTCTGAACTAACAGAAATCTCAACCCTGATACAGGATTTTGCTTTTTTATCGATTTTTAATTTACGACAAATGCATTTTAGCCATTTTACATAAAACTTAAAGAAAAGTCAAATTGGTAGATACTAAAAGCTAACTTTTTTCAATAAATATAGTACATACATTAATATTAAAAGTAATATTGTTAAAAATTTTATTTAAAAATTTTTTGGGTTTGTTGAAAAAATACACGACCCAGAATTTTCGTACGCAATAATAACGATGTCTGTTTTCATGATGACATACCAATTAGAAGTGTATGAAATTCATAAATATTCTTAGATTTTATTACATAATTTGTAATAATAAAAGCCTGTTATAAAGTTCAACTTCATTCGCGTGGCGTGGTACCACGAGGCGAGGTTGGATTCGTTAGATCGTGTATTTTCCACGTACACACCCTGTATACGTACATATTGCTGATCGATTACATTACGTTGTTACAATTGCTAGTAACGTAGGCATTTCAGGAGAATCTAACTTTTTATTCTTACTTTCAGTCTCACATTTCGTTCCTATATCATTACAGCCGTTATTTATTGAACGTAGACGAATATAAGGGACAGAATTAGTTGCAGTAGGTATGTAAAATGTTGCCTAGATGATAGAAGGAAAATATTAATAAATATGACGGAAGTATGCAGGTACAGTCAAGGGTCGAACCGACGGTCCACTGCCACCGTGAGTGATGTTCACACGGCAATGCGTAAGTAATTTCATATTAATGTGCATAAAAACGCGTGCGTACGCATAAACACACGCACGCGTACGCACACGGATAAAAATATGTGTGTGCATGTGTGTATAAGCGCTGCGGCGCAACCTATAGTAGTCTTACGGTGGCAGTGGACTTTTGACCTTTGACCGTACCTTTTGGAGTCATTGGTCGGCTCTGCAACCAACTAATAGTTAGGTAACTACTGTCTCTGTACCTGCGTACTAAATACTAGTCAGCATTTGTTTTGCAAATATGTAGCAACACCAGTAAATAGTTAATGTAAGTACCTAAATGATGCGAGACATAAAAATTGGAAACGTAGCTTTGAAATAACTAAGGTATGTAAGTGTTTCACGAGATTATCTAATGCTTAACAGCTAAGTATAATGGCAGACTTAGTTTTTAAAATACAGTGAGTGAGTATACAAGTGTGATGATAACTAGTTATATTCAATATTTGGTTATTATGGTAAACCCGTTTATGAAGTGGAGGTCTATAATCCAGCTGTACCTAGACCGTCACTGGTTAATGATGTATTCGGTTAAGACTAACTATAAATAGGACGCGTTTACGTGGATTTATAAGTATATTTTTGATATGAAATCAGTTACGAATATCAGTTTGTCCAAGTTATATCTTGCAACGGAGGCAGCTCTTAAAGAAGCTTCCAAGAAACAGAAAGTTTTAGTCGTATAAATCATCATCGCGCACGTTTTTTTTTAGCTATTGTTACATACTAGAGGGCGCCAGGGTACCTATTTGTTGCACTCGGCACATGAGAAGCATACACACCTCTGACTATGGTTCAGACATTATTTGTGATTCAAATTTCGCACTTGCGTGATATGATTTCTTCAATGGAACGACGACTATCTAGTAGGAACATACTTAATGAAAATTCCTATATGATACTTTTTAACCCTAATTTTATTAATGCAAAGACTTCATAAAAATTAATTATTAAATATGGAGTAGTCACTGATTGTATATATAGTTAATATAATAAGTATTTACAGGATCTGGAAAATTATTGGCGTATTTATATAAGGTAATATAACGATTGGCACAGTGCTTACAACTTACTATATACAATCACTTGGCACAAGAATACTTGAGAGATGCTTCAACTGACTGATTGGCACATTATTACATAGTATGTAGTATACGCAATGCAACGTTAATGTTAGGCCGAACCTCAAATAAAATGCTAAAATACATGCTAAAATCAAGGTACTGTTGCAAATGCTCTAAAACAGTATGCTAAAAAGCGTTCTATCGAGCATGCTCAAAAATGTTCAATAATCGAACGCCTGTCGGTTCGCAAATATGATGCCTGAAATGAGCATGCTAATTTTGAGCACAGTCCGACACACATGCTATAAGCGACAAGTGCTCAATTGAAGCATGGTTTCGTGCTTTAAATTAGCATATGTAACAGTACCTTAATGCTTAAATACAGGTAACATTTCAATCAGTCGAAACAATAGTTTGATTGAAATACAAAACTTTATCATGTGTGCAAATTCATAATCCTGTATTGACCTCGTTTTGATGAAAGCCCAACAATTTTAGTTAAATACAATATTGATTTATAACTTCGCTGATAAAATTGTGGACTTCTAACAGGCCATTTTACAAAATAGGTGTAGATTTATGGTATGTAGGTATTACTTTCAAAACAATATCTAAGCGTATTGTATCAAGTGTCTCTCTTATACGATAATAACTTCTATGTGTTATTCAGTACGTGGGCTTCCCCATACTTATTTTACCAGTTCTGATCGTGGTGTTTTATGTTCCTGCATATTTATTAATTAAACCATAACTATTATTTGAATAGTTGTTCTTATTTGATACCATTTCGACACTTAATAAATATTTTGAGGGTCGGTATTTTTGGCAGTCCCTATGTATGGGTCTTTCAGCTTTAGCATGGTTAAGAGTTGTCTATCAGAAAAGCGTTATATCAGTGCATTATTATTGTGATTTGATTTTTGTCACTGAAATCTGTTAGTAAAATATTGTAATCACGAGCCAAATTCACACTGCCGTAGTTGAACAGCATTTTCACACAATTAAAAAACCCATACGTTGTTAACAGACATTTTGTCTTAATATTAAGTATATTCTAGAGGAACTTCATGTGTGTCGTGCTTACGTGAGTGCGTTAGTTTGTCGCAGCGTGTGTATGACGGGCGTCGTGCGACGCGCGTACGGACGACGTGTAGATGCTTGCGGCGTCGGGTGTGCCTCACATTCGCGACGGACTCTGTCAATTATGTCTGCCACTAATTTCTCTTCACGAGATCGTTTTTCCTCCCAGTCTGCTTGATTCACTAATTGCTCTGAAACACAAAATATTATATTATAATTCCATTTGCATTAAATAATCAATCTGCGCACAACGAATTATTAAGTCCCTAATTTTAAATTGATAGGGATAATAATTTTTATGTTTTTGGAACACACTTTATCAAAGTAATATTACACATATTCTCGGAAAAATACCACACGGGCGAAGGTAGGGTTCCGCTATCGTCAGTGAGAAATATATTTTATCAAACAAAATCGCTTTCATTTAAAATATTCCCAAGACGAGATTACATTATTCAAAACATAATCAAATCTCTAATCCTACATGCACAATCCTAAACAGAGCTTATTGCTCTAATTTTACACTTATGCGGGAAAATACTACTGCTGTAGGTCGTAGCTCGTAGCGCGAAGTTCATAGCACGTAGCACGTAGTATGTAGCACATAGTTTCCAAAGTAGTTTTTAGTATTTGTAGCAAAATACATTATCTTGAAATGGGTACGCATCTTATTATTTTTTATAACATGGACCCCTCCCTATAATATCGATTTTCAGACGTGTGGCAATAAGATGGATGGATGGAAGTCGTATATAAACTTCACCTGATATGGAGTATATAAACCTCACCTACGATATGGAGTGGGGGATAATTATAAGTCTATCACTTGACTTTTATCGGTTCAGTGAGTTTTGTAACATACTTGGATCAAACAACGTTTGATTCGCTCAATCGAACTAGGGTGAAGTATTCAGCCTAGTTAGACTGAGTTATGCTTACATAGTAGAGCTTTGGTACCTACTTGCAATATATCAGTCGCTTACCTTTACTGCGATAAGTTTTCTTCGTCTCTGTAGCCTTCGCCGTGTGTTTGACGACGGATGTCTGATAATTTGGCACGCTGGTCTTAGGGATCATGGACTCAGGATCGGCTTCTTCTTTAATTTCCTGTAACGTATTCTCCGTGGCTTGTATTGCTTGCGTGTTCGTTAATACTGGACTACTATCTGATAATAATTCGCTATGCCTGCTCGCTATATGCCCAATGTATCCTGAAAAATGTAAGGGCGACATTTCAGATACTTTATCCAAGAAAACGTACAACACGTACCTAAATGTATTCGATTAGGAGATTTTGTATTGAGAATAATAAAACGATTATTCTTTTAAATATACTATTACTAATTCGGTAACATTAGGTAGAATATCTATTAAAGTATGAGGGCTGTTCTAATGGTAACGAAAATAGATAGATTGATACTTTGAACCGAAGTATCATCTTTAAACGTTGTTCTTTCACGACTATTTAGACACACCACCGAGCCACTATACCTAGGATATAGACAGCTATCTCGTAACATGGATGAGATAAAAAATAATTAAGTGACAATACTTATTTATTTTTTATTTTTTAAGGGGAGAAAATCATCGAATGCTTGCTCCCGTCTGGGTGAGGCGGAAGGGAGTTTCAGACTCTTACTGACTAAAAACCACCCCGTTCCTTCTCCTGCACGTCACCGCAGATGAGGCCCTATTGGGCCCCATCTGCGGTATTGTTAAAGAAAATCTCAGTTGTAGCGCGGAGTCTGGAATTGTATATAGGCCCGATATATGACAATAGGCTAACCCCCTATTACATGGGACTCATAAGATAAATATTGAAAAGTGGGTGTTACATAGTAAGTGCCGTAATGTGCAATTGTGCACCTCTGCCTACCAATAGTACTAATAGTAAAATATCGTAGGTAATTAGTTAATCATGTTTTTTAAATAACTATCGTGAGACATACTAAATTAACTAAAAATCGTGGGTTACTCACGTGAATATACTGAGAAAAGCTCTATTAGTTTAGAACTGAGTAGCCTATTCGCCTACTCTACAGGCTGCGCGACATCGCCGCGACCGCGCACGCTGCTCATGAGGAAGAACCGCTCTGTGGTTTGAAACTAGTAGAGCTTTTCTCAGTATATTCACGTGAGTAACCCGCGATTTTTAGTTAATATAATTACATCATCCTGTCGTCCATTACTTTTTGAATGTAGTTACATTACACACACACACACACACTGAAGCATACAAGCGTTTGCTTCATTAATTAATTTAAACTTAAGAATTTGTTTCGATCCACTATATAGTCTGGAACCACCAGATATGCAAAAAAATAATCGATAGCTAAGCAGAAAGATATAGGACCTACAACACGTGGTATATTATTCAGGATATTACCCTTACCTTTTCTACTCTTAAAATAGACGAGGCATTGTTCACACTGGAACAAGGGCGCGGGGTTGGGCGGCTGTGCAGCGTGTCGCTTGTACTTGTGCCGGTACCAGTGCGTGCGACTCTGCAGTATCTCCCCACACATCTTGCAGATGACGCTACCATCAGTCCGCAACATGTACTCCAATAAATCATGTCTTCCCTTCGATTCCTTTCCTTCTTCTTTATTCCCTTCATATTTCGGTTCAAGTTTTTGCATCTGCTCTGTTAGAAAATGTACTCCAGTGTCCTTATTGAGAGTATCATCAAATTGCCCGCTAGGCACGGACCCGTCCACGTAGTTGGCAATGATCGGGTCAGGTATAGACGAGTCCGACATTACTTCTAGAGTTATTATAGGAATACTGCCATTGTCAACTTCGTCATCAAACGTGTAGTGGTACTCTGTAAGTTCTAACAGTAAATACATTATTCTTTCAATGATATTGTTTCTGCTTCTCAATAACTTACAATTAAGTAAGTAGGTAGCTAATAAACATGAGGCTTTTGTTCAGCAATTTAAAGGGTGTAATAAAAATAAGTGAAATATTTTTATCGTTTTATTCGTAGTGTAGGTAAATGTTTTCACAATAATTACTCAATACGTGTTGGTAAGATCCTTTCTTTAAATATAAACTACTATATTTTTGTTACAATAAAAATAAACTTTTGTCTCGTTCTCATCAATTTATGGTTAAAGCTTTGATGTTTGCAACGATATAATCATACCTACTATAGTACTCTAATAAAATTATCAGTTAGACTGTGGTAGTAATTTTGTTAATAGCTATTGTTAATATAGACTATCCAATATCTAACGTTCTTAAATCACTATTCATTACAATATTGTAGGAGTAGTCAAAGAAACATATTTTAGTATGGCCCATCTTACAAACGAAACATGTATACTGACAGTTTACAAAGTATACAATTGTATAGACCTTGATAGGTGCAAGTCAATTTAGAGATGCTTTTGGACGACTAATTGGTACAATCTCTCGAAATATATCAAGATTTTAGGGAACAAGAAAAAGTTGATAATATGAACGGGACAGAACTATACTATATGTGAACGATAGTAAACTATATTTATACTCGATACCAATAACTTAGCAACAAGTTGAAACGAAGCGTTTGAAGAGCTCTACTGTAGAATACTTACCATCAGTCTGACAAATCAAATTGTATAACCACGAGTTGTTGGCATCGAGTAAGAGTCAATAGAATATAGAAAAAAAATCAACACTTGCATATAATCATTGCACATGACACGAACCTAATTATAAACATCTAAACTTCTACAAGATTTTTCATATTATAACATAGTTTACAAAATTATTTGCATATTTATTGCCATGACACAGAAGGCGTAACATTTAGGTAGAGGTCCAATCTGCCGGCGACATGTATCTGTGTACATATCCGTTGGCAGAAATAAAAATTTACTGAAGAAAAACCGAATTAATATAACAGAATATTTTACATATATACTTATATGAAAATTTGTGCAAATAAAATGTCTTAATTTTGTATTAAGTATAAGTAAAAATAACAAAATATTTAATCGCCGATAGTTAATATTTACCAATTATAACGCACACTTGCTTCCTTAATACTTTATCCACAAAGTAAAATAAAAATGTTTACCGATGTACGATTATTAATAGTACGCTGCCTTGCAGCACGTGTTTAGAAGTGAGAAAGTAAAGAATTACAATAACTCAACAATGAACATGATCGCCAACTTAGTTAGCACTAATATCACAAAATAAAATACTACAAAAAAGATAAAAGATAGGCATAACACTTCACCACTCCAAATAATAAAAATTAAGATAAATAAATGAAACAATCCTCCTCCAACTTGAGAACTAGAACAGTGGATTACGTAACAAAGGAAAATACAATACAAGAATGAGAAGTGGTGAAAAATAAAAATAAAAGAAAATACAAAATAAAACAAAAAGCTAGTCCTTTTCAAAATATACCAACGTGTCACTACGTTGAGTTAGTTTGTGCGATTGACTGGCGCTGACGTACCTACCTAAATAAAATCACACTGCAAATTGTTAATACCTTGTCGGCGACTATATATCCTAAATATTTATGTAATACACAAGTTTAACTATATACAAGAACGTGATCTAACAAAATCTTCTTATAAATTTAAACTTAACATACGTAGATATAACTATCTCAAAATTGTGCGCTAAAATTTAAAATACAGTAACTCAATGTATAACCGATTAATGCTTTAAGTAAACATAATATTAAACCTACTCTATTTTAGTATCCAATCAGTAGAACATTAATCGATCTCTTAAAGGCAGCGTTCAAACCGTGAAACTTAAAGTAACGTAGATTATGTATAAATCGTTCCCAAGTGGAACTTAACAATATACATGAACATTAGGCGTGACGCTAACATAACCTAACAAATATTATTTCCCTTATCAATGGAAGAACTGCTGATTTTGTTATACGTCCTAGGAAACCTAGGACTGCTCCGCTATCCACTAAATATAATCTAAAAGTGAAATAATAAGAGTTGGAAACTTTAGTAATAATATTAAAACATACAAAATGAATAAAAATTGCGCTATGGCACTATTAAGTTAAATGTTAACATATTGATATTTCCCACTATACTTCTCTTGTTAAAATAGATTCAATCAAATAGGTACACATCGTACATAACAGTAGGCTCACTAATAGGTAGAGAAATATTTTAATATAATCTATTATTTATTAAAGTCTTTAGTAAGATAGAAAAGATTTAATATAATGAAATATATCTATTTAATAATGCTTGCGAGTGACAACGACGCCGTGGCCCTGTTCTCCGCCTGGACATAACATGTTTCGGAGGCCGGTTCGCGAGTTCCGATCACATCACACCGGTAATGTTGCAATTTGCGAACATAGACAAAGTAAAAATAAGATTTATCTGTAATACAGTCTTTGGTTGGTGTCTTGCGGTATCTCAAATAACTATAAGAAATATTTTAGGCACTTCAGGCGACAACTGGTTTAGTAACATTACACTTCAATAACCTGCGTAAATGGAAGGCACATTTCAGACTTTTGTAGCACCTACATATGCTAATTTTCAAAACAAGTTAAATTCAACACGCAGTAACTGGCCTCAAGTATTACATTGTATATTATTGTCTAATATTTGCACAACCATACTTTAAACAAGATAACATAATGAGCTTTATTTTATGTAACAAACATTCGTTATTAAATGCATAACAGTATTCTTGGAAATATTGTAATACGTACAATGTAAAAATGTACATGAAAATTTTAATCCAAAAATAGAACGAATACTATAATCGAAACTTCGATATCTTGATGACCTAAAACTAGCCAAAGGAAAAGTGTACATGTTCACGTGGAATCACACAAGTCCAGCGCAAACCCGTGACTCACTCAGACTTGCGCAGGGTCAGGCGAGGAATGCGAGGGCGTGGAGCCGTGCGGCGACCTGGAGCGCACCGCCTCCACCTTGATGCCGGGCGGGAGCTGGCCTTCCATGCCCGGGATCAGGAAGAAAGCGTTCGGTGGGTACACGCAATCTTTCGGCACGTAGCAGTCGTGGGTCGTTTTCATATGATTTTTCATCTTGTCCGGCCTAGAAAACTCTTTGCAACAGACGGGGCACGGAAACACTTTCCTTTGATGACCCTCGTGGTACAAGAAAGCGTGCCTCTGGAATGAATATTTGTTTTTAAACGTTTTTTGAATGTTCTCTTTAGCGCACTCGGTGCACTGGTACACTCCCTCATTGACGGACGCGTATCTGAACAGATTGAGACCCCTGACTGACATTTCAGTGAGTTGCTCCGCGGGGTCATTGGATGCCGAGTTAGCTCTTCTTCTTATTCGTCTTCTGACAGCTGGCCTCTGCATTGGGTTGCCGCCAGTCTGCAACGTGTTATTATTTAGGGAGTCGTTTTGGTACTCGTTGGATGTAGAAGCCTGTGTTCCTGGATTAACGCGTACTTTTCCTGAACCATCGTGTGATGGCGACTCCCGAGTGTATTTCATGTCCTTATTTTCAGAGTCTGGGCTATCGCGTCCTGTAATGTAAGAATGAACTGATAAGTATTCAAACAAATATAGGATTAATATCAACGATTTGCTACTACTTCATGTACAAAAGGATAATGTCACAGGGACTAACCAACAAGATATTAATATTAAAAGTTTTAGAATAATAAAAATCCCGATGAAATTGTCCTTTTTTACCTACTTACTAATATCAATCAACTTACTGTATTGCATAAACTTGTAAAAAGGCAAATGAAATTGACAAAAAAAGGAAATTGTGTAAGTCACATGGTATACAGGTGAAAAAACCAAAGGAAAATAAAAAAACAAACTGAAAATATATTAACTTTATTTGTTCAAATTGAATGACGAAATTTTATTACACCATGATTAAAATGAAAACCACGATTCATGAAACCATTTCATAAACAAGTTTACGAGATGAATAGTAAATAGTGTATTGTAGGTAGCTGCCAACTTGTGAACTAAACCATACAGTGATACGAGTAGCTAAGAGAAACGAAAACTTAGGAGAAACAATCCAGAATAATAATTTAGAATAAACTTGTTCATGAGATGCATTCAAAATAAAACATTTAAAACTAGAAAAAGTGAAATAATATCAATTTTGGAATATATGTACTAAGTGTATATATATTGACCAAAACTTGAATCATCAGTCCTATAAATTAAAACTCACTAAGCAAATAATTTTCAAAAGATAACAGTGATTGTGTTCAATGAAAATTTGATGTATTAAAACATGAACTTGTAGCAAAATCAAACTGCTTAAACTATTTTAAAATAACCATAAATTAATAAATTAAAAAATAATAACAAAAAAGAATAGATTTCACTATGACATAATAGGACTCAAGTGTTTGCATTTGGAACTATTTCGGCAAGTTCAGTAGTAGGTACATAATTATAAAAATAACACTTCAGTTAACTTAGTTCTTAAGATCACATAAGGTGGGTTTATAGTTGAAAGTAACATTAAACATAGCAGCCGGGCGCTTCGTTTGTTGCGCACGGCAATATATGTAGGACATTAAATAGTTGCCAATATATTGTAAGCCGAGAGATACAATCATGTTTGGATTAAATATCAGGAACATGTAATTAGCCTCATTAATCAATATCTGGATAATATTGCATCAGAAATATCTAAGAGTATGGTATAAATAAAAATAAAAAGCAACAATTTGTACTGGACCAACAAATCAATACTTTGTTCATTGCAGAGCATCAATTTGAGCAACATAGAAAGCATTAAACGTAATCTAGCTCTAACCACACCATCTACGAAACGTGAGAGTAGCGTCCATAGGATAACGTACCTGCTCAGTCCCCTCTGT